AGCCCATGTACTCTACCGCACCGATGATGGCGACCCTCCCCGCTGCGCCCTACTACGCGCAAGCCCAGGTCGTACAGCAGCAGCTTGACGTATGTCGATTCCCGTCTCCTCCTCCTTCTGATTTGGGGACTGCGCTCACTTCCGCCGATCCTTTCTCTGGCAACGACCTTGCAGCAGAGGTTGAATGAACTCAGGATGCAGCAACTCCAGCAACAGCCGTCGCAGCAAGTCCCCGTTCAACACACGTGCGTGACCACCACCTCACTCCCACGACAACTGCAACTGCAGTTGCCTGAGACTCACTCGCGATCACCTCTGCGTTCTGCGCACCAGTATGGCCTCCCTCGCCCAGGTCTTCCCTCAGCATCCGCCTCAGCAGCAGCAGCAGCAGCAGCCGCAGCAACAGCCGCAGCAGCAGCAGCAGAAGACCGACTTCCCGCTCATCATGGGCGCTTCGACCGCGTTCTCGGACTTTCCCGGCATTCCTTTCTACTCAGCTCAGGATGCCTTCGCCCACGTGGACCCGAACCAGGTAGCCCAACTCTCAACGCTGTGGCCGAGCCTTTCGTAAGACCTGTGTGGTCTCACCTTGTGTTGAGACGTTTGTGCAGAACCCCACTTCGGGTCTCGTCAACAGACGATTCGCGGCTGGCGCCAACGCCGCTGGCACAACGCAAACCCAGCAGCAGCAGCAGTCGCAGTCGCAGCAACAGGCTCCGTCTGGCGCCAATGGCGACAGCGAGCGAAGCGGCTTTCTCTCGCAGCAGGGCTCGAGGCTGCTCTTTGTACGCCCCGCGCAACAATGACACCAACCGCCCGGTGCCCCATGCGAGATGCGCTGATGATGCTGATGCTGGACTGCGACAATGTGACGATGATGGGTGTGGTACACGCAGGGCGTCTTCTTCATGATGTTCGTCGCCTTCGGTGCGCCGTGGGATAGCATCGCCTACTCTGACTCTGGCATGCCCCTCGCTGCGCCCGGTCGAGTTCTCATGTCCGACGCCGACCTCACCACCGATAGCCAGTGGGCCGGAATGAGCGGGTACCACTCACCACTCAAACCAACCTGACGTCAGCAGCTCCATTGATGACTGAACCATCGTTTCTTTCTTCAACTGCAGCTATCTTCCTTCGGTCATGTTTTACCTCAAGTGGGTGTTGTTGACGACGGCGTGCTACATCATCCTTATCTTGTGGCGAACGAGCCGTATCTGCCACCAGTTCCAGAAGGCCAGCCACGACCTCCACGTGACCGACATCTACCTCAAGCGCGGCAATATCAGACAGGCCGAGAGCTCCTCGCGCGACTGCCTCGAGCACCTGGGCAGCCCGCTTCCGTCGGGTCACGCCGCCCGCTTCGTCATGACCGCGTGGGAGATGGTGCGCCACGTACTCCACATCGTCTTCATCGGCCGGTTCATCGAGACCGTTATGATGTACGCGCGCAACGATGTCGCCATGGCTTCCATGCAAGCCCGCGCTCTCTCCGTCTTCCTCAAGTACGTCGTCGATCTCTCACACTGTGTTCGCTTGAGTGCACAAAACTCATCAATCGCAACACACGTTGATCACAACGCACGCAGGACTCACGAAAAGCTGGACACCGAGTGGCTCTACGCTGCGCTGACCGCGTTCAACACGGCACAGGCCACGCAGAACCTGAGCCTGCAGGCCGAGGTCAACCTTGGCATCATGCTGCGCCTCCATGGCAACCCCTACCTCACCAAGCTGTTCGCGCCCTACATCCGCTACCGCTCGTGGCTCGTCGTTCGCAAGTCCGCTGCCTCTGGACAAGAGCTCGGTACACACCCGCCCCTGCGCCGACACGCAACACGACGCGCACGACATGCAATACGACACACCGCACCACACGAAGCACAGAGTAGGGTGCTCATCGCCCGTTTTTTGCTCGCCAAGCAGGCTGGGTGTACTACGGCGAGGCGATCACATGCATGTGCGCCGGTCAGCTGAAGCAGGCCGCGCGGTACCTCAAGAAGGTGGCCAGGGTGACCAAGAACAACACCGTGCTCAAGCGGCAGGCCGCGATCTATCTGGCCCTCATCTGCACGCTCCGCGGCAAGACCGCCAAGGGCCGCCAGCTCTACAAGTGGGTCTACCAGGCCTCGCTGCTTGGCAACGACCTGGTGACGCTGTGCCTGGCCCTGCTCGGCCTGGTCCGGTCCCTCATGGCCACCAACGAGCTCAACGAGGCGCAGGAGGTGCTCAACGTGTTGGAGCAGTTCCCCTGGAAGTCACTGAACCGCTCGGATCGGATTCTCTTCCGCGCCTTGCAGGTATGTTGTCCGCCCTCACCACCACACGGGGGTCGATGCTCACGCCGCACATTCCGTGCATACCGCAGGCTTACGTCCACCTGAGGTCGGGCCGGATCGAGCCAGCCTTTGCCATCGCGTCGGGGCTGCACAAGGAGATCGAGGAGGAGAAGACCATGCGCTACCACGCCAAGTTCTACTCCTTCCTCTCTTACCAGGCCCTGGCCGAGGTCTCCCTCGGGCTCTACGAGGAGCTGGCCAAGAACAACGTACGCATCCGCTCGCTCGCTGCCTTGTCTTTGTTTCACTTCGCCACGCGCGAGCTCGTTCTCACGTGAACGTGCAATCGGTACATATAGGACCAGCTCAAGGGCAAGGTGACTAGCGAGGAGATGGAGAACATGGCGTCGGCGTCGCTGATGCACGTCAACATGTTCGCCGAGGCCTACCCCGTCAACAAGCCGTGCGCGCTTCGGTGCCACGCCGCCTACAGCCACATCACGCTCGGCCCTTCCGGTACTTTGTCTCTCGCTTCATCGTCGCGTGTGCCCGCGACTCACGACGAACGGTTCGCGCGTGCAGCGGTTGGAAAGGCCAAGTACTATTGTGAGCGAGCGCTTACAACAGCACGAGAGATGAAGCTGCGCGTAGAGGAGGACAGATGCCAGCAGGCACTCCAGAAATACCTTCTCTTGGACGCCGTCTCCACCGTGTAGTCGGTCACCCCAACGGCCACAACGTGGCCACCCAACAACGCGGATTCATTCGCGTTACTCGGTACGCGCTGCCCACGCTATCGCACACGCACACATGTAACACACCCATGTAACACCTGTGCTAATTTTTCATTTTTTTTTGTTGCAGTTGAGCTCACGAGATGAACGAGACACACAGAAGAAGGAGAGCCAACGATCAACCCACCCCACGGGGCAGCAGCAGAGAGGAGAGACGACGATCTATTTCGAACGCGCTCTATCTCTCACCCCGACAACACACTCTCACATCGGCATTCAACAACACATCGTTGAACGTCTTTGCAAGAGGCTGCCGCCCCCCAACTCTCGCTCGTCGACCAACCACCCTTTTGAGGAAGGAGGAAGGCTTCCACGTCCCCCTTCACCAGCCAACCGTCAACATCAGCATCATCACATCATCATCATCAGCGCCAAACCACCTCGCCAACCACTTTCTGTTCTCCCCCCCAAATATACTCATTACCATTCCAGCGAACGTTTTTGTGCCACACCTGAGGGGACCCCGATCACGTTCAACCATCACAAGCGTGGTGTTCACCATCTTCACGTTCATCACGTTGAACCATCAGCTTCATCACTGCCTGACCAAAAAGAAAGAAGGAGAGTAGTTCATCTTCCGCAGAAAAGGTCGGCGGAAAGAAGCAACCACAACCAAACGTGTTCGGCAGCTTCGTGGAACGGATTTGCATAATTTTCTAAATCATATTTTAGGTCTCTTGGTGCGTTGAGGATTACATTACATTAGAGAACCTTCTCGATTAGGGGCCGCCTCGCCAAGGTACGGCGCCTCCCCAAGTCGAGCAGATTATGGACCTTGGCGGGTTGGATTTGCTGAACGGGTCTAATGGTTCGCACGAAGTTAGATTGATTGCTCACCACCATCCAACAGATACAGATAAGAAAAGATACAACCGTGTAGAAGACCGGGCCACACACACGATCGGAGAGCACTGCCGCAAGCAGAAAGTCGACGACGGCTGCCCTTCTGCTGCTCATTTGCGTCGTAGCAGGCTTCGTCTTGCCTCTTCTTCTCCTGCGCCGACTGCTGCTCGCAGCGCCATCGACCGCATCGGCACAACATCATCACATCATGGAAACATCAACAGAGTCCGAATCGAATTCCATGCACATGGACGTAGTCCGCGATGAAGACGCCGCATCAACTTCGAAGCAACATGCCCTCGGCAGCGGTGAAGATGAGAAGAACAAGGCGCCATCGGCATTGTCGACCGACGATTCTACAAAGATGATGGAATCATCCGACCCACCGCCCCCCAGCAGCAGCAACGAGCTGGCTATGAGCGACGAGGAGCTGGCCCGGCTCCTGGCCAAGCAGTTCGAAGAGGAGGAGGTGCGCGCCCTCCAAGATGACGAGTCCTTTGCGCGCCAGCTGCAGGAGATGGAGGAGCGCGAGCGCCAGCGACAGAGAGCCGACCAGCGCCGCCAGCAGCAGCACTTCCAGCAGCTCCAGCAGCAGCAGCAGCAGCAGCAACAACATCAGCAACAGCAACAGCCCCAACAGCAGCAACAACAACTCCAGCAGCAACAGCAGCAGCTCCAACAGTACCTCCAGAGCGCGCAACGCCACGTGGCCGCTGCAGCGGCCGCCGCCGCGTCGTCGACGATCAGCACCACCTCTTCGTCGTCGTCGCCGCCGCTGGCGTCGGGCTGGGAGGCCCCGGCCCTGCCCTCCCACTTCCTCTTCGGCCTGACGAGCTCCAGTCCGCCGCCGCCGCCTGTACGGCCGCCCTCCTCTCCCCCAGTAGTACTTACTTCGTTGGCGCGTGCACCGTGCTGCGTCTCACACGTCTTCTTCTACTACTTCTTGTCATGGTCCACATCGGCTCTGCTGTGGTGGTGGTGTGTGGCGTCAGATGTCATCTTCATCTGCGTCTTCGTCTTCGTCTTCGTCGGCGCCTTCGCCGTCTCCGCTTGTAGCGCCGCCCCCGGCACCAGCGCCGCCCATGGCGTCCCTCCACGCAGGTACCCCGACCCTCCACCACGCACCTCTATCTCTCTCTTCTCTCTCTTCTCTCTCTCGATTCTTTCTGTTCTCTGTTCGCTGTTCGTAGGGGTGCACGGTGGTGGTGGGGAGAGGCTCATCGGTGGTCGGGACCTGACTAACTGTGGCCCCCTCCCTCTGCCACTCCCACCACGAACCACCACCTCCTCCACCTCCACCTTCATCTTTCGCCACAGCCCTAATGATGGCGAGGGAAAACAAGAGAAAGAGAGAAGAGGAAGAAGAGGGGAGAGGTTGGGCGGGGAGATTTGGTATCATTGCTTCGCCTCGGATTCAAATTTTTCTGCTTCTTCTTCTTCTTCTTTCCACTCCACTTCCTTTCTTCTCCCTTTTCTCCTTCTTCTTCTCCATCTGAGCTGGCCGCTCACGTGTGTGCGCGTTTGTCCCCCCGCAGGCATGAAGACGTCGTATTCGGTGCTGCGGAAGAGCAGGCGGACGGAGGAGGGGGAAGAAGCAGAAGCAGAGGGCAAGAACGAGACGGCGCCGACGACGGAGCAGAAGTCCGACGACCAGCAGCCCGCGACCACCACCTTCACCTGCCCCATTTGTAACGAGGTACCGACCTCGCCGGCTCCCGCTGCACGAGCTGCTCCCCCCCGCCCCGCCCCCATTCGTTGGTGGGCTCACACTCCACAGAGTTCTGGTGGTGGTGGCGATGGTGGTGGTGGACATCTCACCCGTGGCGCGTTCACCCAGGCCGACATCACAGAAGACGAGCTCTACACCCACACAACGGAGAAGCACGCCGACGCCGGGCAGGTCCGGATGGTCTGCCCCATCTGTGCCGTACGGCCCAGTACGTAGCCTCCTTCCCTCCCCCACGACGGTGACCAAGTTTCGTCTTCTTGAATGCCAGCTGCTCACACACGACACGACACGCCACGGCACACACACACGACACGACACGACACACACAAACGCGCAGACGGAAACCCGAATTACAAATCGAGGGACTACCTTGGGCACCTGGACCTGCGCCACAAGCCGGCTCGCCTCCGCAGCAGCGCTGGTACCGCGCCGCTCTCGTCTCTTTTCTCGGGGTTTCTTCGAGTTAGCACCCTTTCCCCCTTTTTTGCTGACCACCACCACCACCACCACCACCACTAGAAACGGCCGCGATGGAAGCGGCGGCGGCACCGCCACAGCTGCGCCAGTCACGACCGCGCACTCACCTCATCACGCGCACGGCCCGCGGCTTCCAAATGATCTCCAATCGCTCGCTCGATGTACGCGACGTGGCCTTCTTCTTCTTCTTCTGCATTCGCACCTTTCACTTTGGCTGACTCAATTTCGCGCCTCCGCCCGCGTTCTTGCAGACTCTTTTTGACTACCTCATCCACGTCGATAGCGACCTTGCTCAGCTGCCTCCCTGCCAGCTGTGCCATCGCAAGTACGTGCATCGCCATCGTATGTGTCGTGTGCGCTGTCGGGGGGCGGGACTGACCGGACCACGCCTCTGCAGGATGAAGCCGACGCACACGCGGGCCATACTGGCGTGCGGACATCACTTCCACGCGCAGTGCCTGCCGTCGGGCTCACCCTCGCCCGTGTGCCCTCTCTGCGAACGGAAGGCGGCGTACTTCGCTGCCAAGGCATCCGCCGCCGCCTCCTCAACGACGCTGGACCAGCAGCAGCCGCATACCCCGGAGCAGTCCGACGCTTCGTCTTCGTCGTCGTCTTCGTTGAAGCGAGAAGAGGGCGAGGAAGCCGAAGCCGAAGCTGAGGGATCGAGCCAAGGACGCAGCGAAGGCGCCGACGAAAACGAAATGACGTGCGAGGACTGACACGAGCGGACGAGGGACACACACGAACGTACAACGACAAAGGGAACTTGACGAAGGTGATGAATGGCTGTTGTAAAGGTGGTGTACAGGAGGAGAAGTCTGGAGAGACAACAGATGACGAGCCGTGTGGTGGCTCTGCGGCGTGTTTGGGGTAAGAAGAACAAGAGAAGTACAAAAGAAGAAGAAGAGAAGAAAGTGGGGGTTTGATGGTGGTCAAAACTGTTTGGGTTTGTCGTGTGTGTTTAGCAGCGCCTCAACCGCGCTTTAGCCGAATCGTGGAGCCTGCGTCGAAGCACGAGACCAACGCCGGGTCAGCCGTGGTGCGAGTGGCGGGGGAGTGGTGGTAGCGGTGTACCTCCAGACTTGGCGGAGTCCTCCGTATTGAGTACGTTGTTGAGTTCTCGCATCCAGTTGTCCTTGTCCTGCTGCGTCCGGGCAATGAGCACCAGCAGCACCTTCCTCTTGCCCACGATCTGGAACGATAGCTTTTCTGTTGTGTTGTTGAGTCGGTCGTTGTGAGCCTTGGGTGCAGTGAAGAAGAAGAAGGTGGGTGCTGTGATGATGCCCACGTACTCAAGGGCAGGTCCTCAACGCATAGGTTGAACTTGGCGGGGAAGAGGTTGATGGAGCCCTTGTACACGAAGGCCTTTTTCTTTTCCTGGGCGTAGATCAGCACGTCGCTGAACAGGAAGAACCACCGCACCGTCGTCGCTCCAGACTTTCCTGTATCGTCAGAGTCCTCTCAACCGTAAGTGCACACGCCCGCAGCCCCGACCTCAAACCCGATCAGGTCAAGCGTGAAGGTACCCGACGACGGCTTCTTGGAGAGCTGGCCCTGGAAGATGAACTTTCGGCCGGCCTGCATCAGCGGCTGGTGTTGTAGCACGTGAGAGAGAACGGTCAGTTTTACACTGCCGAAGGCTTCCTCGATCGAGAGGCGTACAGGGCAGAGGGGGGAGGGGTGATAGAACATGTCGTACCACGCCCATGCCGACGATCTTCCCCGACAGTTCGGCCATCATGTCGTTGTTTGATTTGTAGCTGTCCACCCACTGCGCCACATCCACGATCTTCTTCCTGTTGTGGGTGGTGGTGGTGCGTGAGCGGTACTCTTCTGAGTCGTTGGATCGACCCAACTCGAGGGGCTGACGTACTGTGCTTGGAGCAGGTTCTCGTAGTCCCCGTGGTCTGGAGGTGTGTGCTTGATGAGAAGCTGCTTTCATGAACAGGGTTGTCAGTATGGCGTCGCAGCTTGCGGTGGAATCGTTATGATGAAGAAGACGCGTACGTCAATGAGCATCTTGTATCGAGGGATGCGCTGAACCGGCATGATGAGGAAGGCGTAGATGTTGAGGTTGTGGCACGCGTCGTTGTTGAGGCAATTCTACAACAGTCGGGGGGGGGTACCGTAAGCCCCAAGGCCAACCACAACAACAAGGACAGCCCTCAGTACCTCGAGCCATCGTGTGGCGATGACGGAGGAGAAGATCTTCTTGAGCTCAGCCGTGCACTTGTCGTAGCGCGAACAGTACTCGCTGTACAGTTTCAGGAAAGGCATCTGGAGCCACCACCGTCACGACGTTAAACGACGACTACTATGGCAGGCTGGTCGGGGGGGGGTGTTGTTTGTGGTGTAGTACCATCTGGACCAGGACGTGCCCCAGCTGGGTTTCATATGTGTAGGTAGCCATGAGCGCCTCGAGCTGATCCAGGAGGTGTCGGTGGAACGCATGGATGGACTCCAGGATGGTGAACAAGCTCTTGCTGTTCTCCTTCTTTGCATTGCTGTTCGTCCAGAACGGCTACACAACCCCCCCCCAAGCTGAGCCTCAGCGCTCATCATATTGGGGTTTTGTGTTTGTTGTTTGTTGTTTGTTGTTTGTCTTTGGGCCGTACCTGCTCCTGGAGGGGAACCACGTAGACCTTGATGAGGGTGGTGAGGGAGCTCAAGTAGGTGCGCTCGGTGGTCAGAAGCTCGTTGGCTGCCTTGCTGCACAGCTCTTTCGCTGCAAGCGTCAGGTGCCACCACTTGGCAGGATCACCCTATATGATGGCGGGGAGCAGTACCCGATAGGGCGGCAAGGGAGCAGGGCGACGGGGTGCTGGAGTCCCGCGACCGGTCGAGCACCGGGTGCGGGGGCTGCTCGGTGATGGCCGAACCGAAGGACATGCTGAGCGGCGTCATAGCGGAAGCGGAACCCTTCATCGGATTCGATTCGGTAGGCAGAAGGCGCAGCAACAGCAGGGTCTGTTTGAGGGCATTGGTTTGGGGTGGTGGTGTTGTGAGCAACAAACAAACAAACAAACACACAAAAGCCAGGGCAAGAGCGCAAGACAACAATCAAGTACCCCGTGCTTGAAGTTGTAGTCGATGAGCATTCGGCTGTTCTCGAGCCACACG